TTATTATTATTATTATTATTTTCCCCGGATGACCTATTTAAAGTTTTTTTTCTACCTGGATTATTGAGATGCATTAGGACACGTTTAATGTCATTTGTCTTCAGACTTTTACGCACTGAATCTCTACTTAAGGGCTGTTGTCTCTCTGTGGCACAAACTCCTTATTGACCTGTGAGTGTCAGCACCTGAAAGCAGCTGTTCTTACCTCTTTTGTTTCTCTTCCAGCGATGGGACGGCGCCTGACAGTTGCTGTATTCCATACAGTTCAAAACGATCAGGGCAAAAGAGAATAGTCGAAACTGCATCTGGACGGTGGTCTGTTGCTCGGACAACAAAAATAAAGAAAAAAAGATAGAAAAACGCACCAGCTGGGTTTAATAAGATGTAGCCAATGCCTGTAATGTCCTCCTCCAGTTGCTTTCTCTGCTCCTCAAATGTCAAACATCAGACGAGATGCGACTCGGCATCACGTCGCCGGCTGGAATCATTTTAAGAAGCGCGCTGATCTTCAAGTCATCAAAATAAGTGTCTGTTCTGGGGGGAGAAAACCAAAAGGTGTTATAAGAGCAACGAAATCAACACCTTCAAACAGACCCGGCGCGCGCGGATCCAAATGCCCCCCTTTTCCTTTCTGTTGCACAAATCGGTGCGTAATGGTGATGTTCACTGTAACTTCGCTCCGGTCCACTTCTACGTTCCGTCTGAGTGCAAGTGCAGTTCGGGAATAACGTGCAGCATCCCGCTCTGTCAATGGGAAGAACGTGCGTCTGAGGTCCGAGAAGGAAGGTTGTGGTGGGAAGAAAAAAGTGGGAGGGAGGGCTTTTTTTTTTTTTCTTTCCTTGAGCTCCGGTTAAAAAACTCTTTTACCTGCTGCTTCTTCAGCTCGTCCTACAGCAGAAACAAGAAACACACGTGTCGCTTTGCTTTAGGAACGAGTGTATGTGTCTGTGTGTTCCAGCGCGCGCTGCTGACTCCCGACTGGTCCTGATGCTTGCTGCGCCTTTTTTCCTGATATAACTGTGCGTCGCTGTCACGTGCGGGAGAACTCTCTCTACTTTTGTGTTTCCTCTTATTTAGGATGTTGAGGACAGACACCCCTCCACACACACACACCCATCCCTCCCCTCCTTCTCACCCTTTTCGCCTCCATCCCAACCCCAAACCACCCAGCCAGCCGCCCCCAGGGCGCACTTTACTAGCCAGTCTGGGCCGGTTCGGTTGCCTCTGGGTCCTAGTGAGCGCAAAAGTAATAATCCTCCTCAGTAAGGAGGAAAAAGTTCACGTTCATTTTTCGTCTGTCTCCGGTAGAAACAATGACTTTAGTGTTATAAATATATTGTTTAAAGATTCTAGCAGAGATTCAAATCAATAAATTTGCTTTTTTTACTATCCACATCTTAAAAATTCAAGCAAATCTAATGACATCCTCCTACGCACTAACATTCACACCTTTAGAGTCCATCCAAGCATTTTTTCCTGACATTTCTCTAATATTACCTCCATTCTCCCCCTCTTCAGAAACCAATGATCATTGCAAAAGGTGGAGTTTAATTAAGGAGCAGGAATAAATCATCCCATTTCTCTGACCATTCCATGGCTTTTCATTACCTCCACAGGAAAGGCATCCCCTTTCCTCAGGACCACCTCACTTTGTTGGAAAAGAAGAAACAGTGCAAACAAGGAAATCAATTATTACTAATAAATTCCAGATGAAATTTTATATAAGACAGGAGAACCAGATGAACCAGATGTAGACGAGCATTTAAAGACAAATCTATTGGTCACCTAAAAACAGAAGTTGGGAATGCTCTACTCCCTTCAACCACTAGGTGTGGCACTTAATCTTTTATATCTGTTTGATGAAATCATTTGAATGTGAAAGAAACTTGCTCAAACTCAGACTTCTCATCTTAGAATAGAATGATTTCATTCACATGCTGGTTTTCCAGTTTTAACAGTAGAAGACCCCATTGAATAAAAAGCGTCTGGCAGTAAAACAAACTCAGAGGGGAAAATCTGAGTTTAAAAAAAGGGTTTGTAAAACCTGTGGTGACCTTTGTCCTGGCCTTGTTTATTTCTCTCTGCAGAAAGCAGTGACAGACACTGTGGTCAGGAAGGCTGCTGGCCACAGGCTGTGCTGCTGGTTTGGATTCCCCTCTACAACAATAAGCCAGAGAGTGCACACTTTAAGGTGAATGTGATCATTTAGACCTATGGCACTTTTATTTTCATGATGTGTCACAGAGAAAAAAAAGAGGTGCCAGTAAACTAATCACTTTACCCCCATTTTCCATTCCTCCCTTCTTGCTTGTTGCAGCACTGAAGTGGAGGTGACGTCAGCATTTGGATGTTCTGGCTCCGATCCCTCAGTGCCATAACGGCAATGAGGGGGGCTGCAGTGCACTCTGCTCATCAGGGATCCAGACTGGATGGTCCTCATGGTGGAGTTTGTCAGATTTCTTGATTGAAAGAATACAAAACAAAGGAGGAAGAAAAAAATCCCTTGAACAGTCAGAATTTCCATCAAGGATTCTGAAATAATCTAACTTGACATTCTCAAAAAGACGTAAAACATTCAGATAAAGATTTAATTTAACTAAACACCACATAACAGTAGCATATACAGTATGACCCCCGCACATACACAAGTCACCCACACACCAGAACTCATACGAGTTGTGGCTGTTTAAGATGTTCTGGTATTTATATAAGTGACATTGGAATGGTCTTGCTGTGAGTAATAATGAAACAAACCACATACATATGCATAACATCATTTATGTACTAATCTCTCCAGGAAATTGTTCTGTAGATGCTTTACAAATATAGAAATGATCCACAGAGAGATCATTTTGAGTAGAAGCTGGTTTGGGTGGAGGTAATGAACATGCATATTGCTGGACTCTTAATGGGTTTGGATCAGATAGGACAACATCTGTGTCAAATTTCATTAAGATCTGATTATGTTTATGGATGTATAGGCTTGAAATAATTTTCAGTCATGTGTTTTGATTCTTTTGCCTACTGCCAGGTGACAGTTGAATAAAAACACATAATGATGTTATAAAAATGATAGCATTTCATAAGACCTAAACAACAAAAATAAATCTGAAGTTCCCATGTTGAATAGTTTTTGAGCTATAAGCATTTTTGTTTGTCCGGGTATTTTCCAGGCACACAGTTCAGTTCTATACCTCAGTCAAGTAATTGTTACCTTCAGTTGGTATGAAAATGCTCCAGATATTAAAACTAAATTAGACTTCGCATCATAGACCATCTAAATGCCTTGAAATTGGCCTCTGTCTTTTTGAAAATAGCATAAAGGAGGGCTTCTGCATGCTACAAAACCTTGTACCATTTCCAACATTCCCACTTCAGCACATCTTCACAACAATGCTTCGGGGGAGGGGCGCTCTGTGGGGCAGGAGCTCAGCTGCATACTGAGCTTCATAGAGGAGCTATGTACAAAGGTGGTGCTTTGTACCAGCAAATAGGCAGCTCCACATGGCTACCACATGAATGAATCAAA